GGTGGAGGGCGCTGAGGTGACGGCAGTGCTGAGGGCAGACTGGGGGCCGGAGTTTGCATGATTTCAAAAGCAGGAGTTTTTTAGCTGCAGAGAGATACCCTTTCTGTGTTGTAACCAGACAGTAAGACAGGGTCGAGGGGGGTCGTTCTGCTGACCGTATTTATTGCAGTTTCTGCTTTTACATTGCAGGTAAACTAAAAGATCTCGGGAACTTGGTTCTCCGGCCTTTCGGACTCTCCACAGAAAATTTCCAGATCAAACAGGATTCCTCTACTGGCTCCTACTCCATCAATTTTGTTCAAAATCCAAATAATAACAGATAACAGAGATAACAATAGCTTTTAAAGCTGGCTTGGAAATTGTGTGCTGCTTGCTGTTAGCGAGGGGAAGGGCCCTAACAATGTTTAACTTTTAAAAGCATCTTATCTCCAAGACAGGCTATCCAGTAGAGCCCAGTGCTCCCCTCTGCCCCTTGTTTTATGATCAGGGCTAAATGCACTTCCTGTTGTAATGAGCCTAATTTGATTTCCATTTTAGGGTGGTGGCTGTGCAGCTGTTGCCCTGGTTCTGGCTGTCCTTTATTTTGTCCAGGAGAAAGCCTGCTTGTCGAGGCTCACCTCCCCCAGGCTCCTCAGAAACAAACCCAGCCAGAGTCTCCCAGGCCGAGCAAACCTGCCTGCCAGAGGCTGCCCAGCCACAGTTGGTGGGGCTCCCCCCTGCCGTCCCCTCTTCCCTATCACACATGCCGCCCAGGCTGCCATGTGCGGGCTCCAGCATCTCGTGATTTCCTCTGTGGTAATAAACGCGTTCTGTGATGGTCTGAGCTGGGTTGTGGATTTTGTCCCTGTGATGACAGCTCAAGAGGAAGGCGTTTCTAGCTTTAGGAGCAGTGTTGGTGTCCAGTGGTGTTACGGGGTGTGGCTGGATTCCACAGATCTGCCCCGCGTCTTGGTTTCCACCTTGAAGATGATCCTGAAGAGATGCCCGTTCTGCCATGCCCTCGAATTCAGGCACTCCGCCCCGCGTGCCGTCTCGGCCTCTGCGGGTTTGTGCGGGTGATGGACGTCAGTGGTTTTGACCGGGCGTCAACCTCAGTAATTTCCACTTAAAATGACTTCGTTCAGGAATGACGGTATGTGAACCCCCGAACAAAGCCGTGTCCTTTTAGGCTACGTGGACCCGGGCGTTTCCGGGGCGGTAGGTTCTTTTTCCCTAGTCATGGCTGCTGGTGAAAAGCTTTCCGTTCTTACGGTTTGGGTGTGCTTTGCCAAGCCTGCCTCCCAGGTCGAAATAAAATCCTCCATGCAGTTTATAGGGGGAAAGGAGAAAGGAGAAGCAGTGTGGTTACTTTGGCTTTGCTCTCTTTATGATAAACCTGGCACCTGGTTTCCCCCGAAAGGTATGTGGGAAGTCACCCAGGTGGTACAGAAACCTTGGCCGGAAGCCGTGCGGCCCAGCTGTTGGTGGTGCGTGCGTCCTGCGCGGCCTGGGTTCTGGCAGCAGTTCTCAGGCCTCTTGATACTTACCATACTGGAAATTAAAGCTGAGAAATGTATTAAATACTTAGTTAATTCGTTTAAAACTAACAAATACATTTTATGTTAATATGATAATCTTTTTAGAACAATATCTTCTAAAAATCACATTTTAGTAAGAAGAGGGAATTTTTTTTTTTTACACAGTTTGCAGATCTCTCTAGCATGTGGCTTGATGGAAGGTAGCATGATTCTCACGCCTGCTTCTGTGCTCGTTTGGTCACGATATATCACGACATGTAGCCTGGAAAATTCTGTGTATTTGTGACAGAATGATGGTGGAAAAGCAGCCTCTTATGAAAGAGATTATTTCGTAACCACTGTGAAGACAGTTTTGACCCCATGGACAGCTGAAGGGGTCTCAGGAACCCCGGGAGCCCCGGAGCTGCCCTGAGAGCCACTCTGTCACGTCACTGTTGAGCTCAATTGCTGAGACTAAGCGACGGTCAAGGCTGAGATTCCTGAAGGACTTTCTGAGCCTCAAGGAACAGGAAATAGACTTGTTTGCCTAGAAGGAGCCTTTCTTGAGACGCCACCACTGCCGCAGGGGGTAGAGGTTTTGCTTCTTAGGCCTCCTTCCTCCTCCACCTTCCCCTCCAGCGCCTCACTGAAATTTTGCAGGAGGCCAAACAAGGCCAACACGAAATGCTTCTAGTGAGCGAGCCAAGTCATGTGTCTGGAAAGGAAAGGAAGGGGATCTAAGTAGGCATGAGTTTGCTTAAGCCAAGTTGTTTATCTACTACCGTTAACTTCTCTGCTTCCAAAATCTGGAAGAGATGGATTCAAACCTGCTCAAAATGTTTGACTATAGAAAAGTCCTGAAAGGGTTGAAAGTAGAAAGAGTGGAGGAAGGGGGAGGAAGGGGGCCTGCATTTGCCGCCTCCTGCTGAGATGTACGATTGAAGTTCTGTGGTGCCTTCCTTCCCACACCAAAGCAAGTATACCAGAGTTTGCTTTTAAAACAGTCACACTGTGACATGGTGTATGTTCTCACGCCAGGGACATTGCAATGGATCAGAATAATTTTGGATCTCCTATAATTTCCTTGAAGACTCAAACTTTTTTTTAATACTGTGACCTGTTACCTGTCTGCCTCCTTGAATAGACGTGGGCTCCTAGCAGGTAAGGGCCATACTTACGTTAATAGCACCAGCACCTACTGCTCTACTTGGAACTGAGAAATTGGTTTTAAAGGCTGTTCCACAAAAGTGGTCTCAGTGTGGACGGCCATTCTATCCAAACGTCCCGAGATCTCTGGGGTCTTTATTTAGCACCTAGTTTTTAAAGCATCTCCTTTGCTACTAACTGCTATCTGTCCTCTCGAGACAAGGAGGAACTAGTCATCTTCAAAATTTTAAGACCCAGCAAAGTGATTTCAAATGTCAGACGGTTTACGTGCTCTTTTTCACTTGCCAAGGAATGTGGTGGGAGGCAGCGAAAGGCAGCATCTGGGTCTCCCCAAGTCGGGCCAGTGGGCTGATCCGCGACTCCCCACGTGCTGCCCGGAACAGCCTCGTCCCCCTGGCCCTTAAGGCCCTGGTTAATTCCCTGCAGAAGTGTTTTCATTCGGATCTGTGTGCAGTTCCAGTCAGTTTGGAGGACTCAGCGAGGATTTCTCAGCAGTGAATCTAGTCATTACACCCTTCGCGAAGTTTTCTTAAAAAGGTATTTGGTAAATATTTAAGCCACTCAAGCCCACCTTGGGTGGTCACGTAGACCGTCCTCAGGTGGTGATCATTCAGCGTGGCCTGTGAGCACGTCTTCTGGTTTTTACATTTTCATTTTTGGATATTTACAAGGATTTGTCTTGGGACTTTGAGGAGTCCCCAGCTTGTCCTCTAGTTTCAGCCTCCCCTCCTTCCCCCAGGTCACATTTCCGTCTTGTGTTTGTAGATGTCCCCGCTCTGTGCTAACCTGCACGTGAGCAGCTTTTCCACTCACCGGAGCCTCTGCAGAGGCTCGCCCGGGGCACCGGCACTGTTACTACAGCAGATTCACACTCGTGTGGCAGTTTTTCTGTGCGGAGTGCACCATGGGTTAGTTCATTTTCTCACATCATGGATCTGAACCATGGTTAAATTCTATTCTTAAAATTCAACCTCTTTTTCTAAGAACTCTAAGACTCGCCATGCGTCCCCCTTCTGTCACAAGCCCTGCGGCTGAGTTCCTCTTCCCCTGTCCTTCTGCCCCTTGTCCCACCCTGCAGTGGTTGCCTGCCTTATCGCTGTACGAGTTACTGTGCTTCTAGGAATAGAGGAGGTTACCACTGGAGATGCGGAGGCTGGGAGTGGCCGAGCCTGCTAGCTAATGACGCAACACCGCAGCCCTGGGCCTGCATCTGAGCCTCGGTAAAGTGACAAGACTTCAAGCACTGGACCTCCAGACTTGCTCAGGTATAGTCAAAGGCGTGAACGTTTTAGTCCTTAGAGGACAGGAGTCGTCGTTCCGGCAGCAGTGTGCGTAGGTGAAGGGACGGGACCGCTTTGGCGAACGCTGCTGGGCCTGGCCGCGGTCTCTGCTCCCTGGGTCTCTGTGTGGCCTCCAGGACCACGGCTGCCGTCCACCTCTCAGCTCGCAAGCTGGAATGCAGGCAGCTTTAGGAAGACCAAACACAGGGCCTTCTTGGTGGCGGGTTACTGTCTGGTTGGACTGTTGTGGAGTGGGGCACTGCCAGCAGCCGTGAGATGTAAACCTGATGGGAAGGTGTGTTCGTAAGGTTGTCTGTCTGAGCCCAAGAGCTGAGCAGACCTGCAAATCCTGTCTTTACAACCGGTTTAGTGAAACTTGGAATGTCAAAGGGGAAGGCTGTGATAGACCAGGGAGGATGGGAACAGCCATTCAGGTTAATGACTGCTTTAATCTTCTTGAGAAAGGTCTTTAAAGGGAAGGGCCCAATAACCTTCCAAGACCAGAGTGCAAATCTGAGCCATCACATGGGACAGGAGAAATCGGTAGTTCAGGCACCTGCCCTTTCCTCCCGGCTGTCTGTGCTTTCCCGTCAACTTGCCTCTGCGTGAAAGGCAGGCCTGGGGCTGCCCGAGTTCAGCCTCGCTGGTGCCGCTGAGCCTGCAGCCCGGTGGTCACTGCCAGCCCGCTGTCCTGTCCATGTTGCTTTCTGGGATCACGCCCCCTTTTGATCCTGCCTGTCACCTCCCTGCCTTGTCTCTCCCTTATTTCTTAAGGCATTGAACTCTCTGTCTAACACGCCTGTCGGTGTGTGCTGTGTACCTGATACACACCCCTCACCCTAGTGAAATCTGGAGGCAGTTTCAGTGACATGTTTATGACCCTTTCAGCCCCACCCCCCTGCACTTCTATGGTAACAAGCTTATTCCTTCCATCACTTGGATTTCCTTTAAAAAAGGATGTAGACATCCCACCAGAAGTGGCTGGAAAGCCTGTTCCTCCAGGGAGCTGCGTAGCTATGCAGAGGAAGGAGGTGATCATTTGCAGTCACTTCCTTCTGTTGTGTGGAAAGCAGTCCTGAGCCCACACTAGACCAAGTCCATTCATACCCCTGAAAATGAGAAATGGACCACTTGCTACCAGCCAGCCCAGGAGATGGGGCCGAAATAACCAGAGCATCTGACTGCTTAAAGCCCTTCAAAGGGTGAAGAAACCCTTTAGTGATAAAATTACTTTATGAAAACTAGTGAGGATGTTCTTACATTTCGGAGCATCAAAAATTTCACCCTTCTTGGCTGCAAGTTGGTAATTGTTGAAGCTAGGGATGGGTACATGCGGTTCATCTGAGTTTTCTTCTGATTCCCCAGCCCTCTGAGCTAGCTGTAAGCTAGGAACAGGCCCCCCCTGCGTAGGAGTTAATGTCTGTCAGCCAGACAAGGATTACGACTCCCTGTACCTTCTGCTTCCCTCCCCTCCAGGGGACGCTCGGGAAGCTCGCATTCCCCCCTTAGCTGAAGCGCGGAGGAGCGGCTGCCCCACTGCCGGGGAAACCGCAGCTTACCCTCTGTGGCCGTGATTCAGTCCCAGCTGCTAGTTCTAGCTTGCTGAGAAATACGGCCTACGCGGATGGGGACGCCTGTCAGGCGCTGGGGCTCTGAAGCCATCAGACATGACAGATGTGAAGAGAACCAACCAGGGCGATGCTGGAACAGGGTCTACAGTACATGTTTGAGGGCGTCAGTCTAAACTCATGCTTCCTCATCTAAGACAGCGTCCGGGAGGTCCCAGGTTGCATCTGTGTCTTGTAGAAGTTGTGTCTGTAAACGTAGTGACACAGATACAGGATGAGGAGCGCTGGCCCTGGAGGGGGCTCCCGCAGGCCTTCCCAGTTGACATGCACATGACGTGTTTACCTTCCCTGGTTCTCTACTTCCATTTTCATTTGTGGGAAACTTGTGGGAAAAAAGAGGTATCAACAGACCCGGATTCCAGTGGCCTCCTTTTTATACTCATTAGATAAACTGAAATGGGAGAATGTTTGCAATTAAAGACGCCACGTATCCTCTGGAATAGCAGGCAGCCTTCTAAGGGATTGCTTCACTCAAATGGAAAAAAAAAAAAAGGCACACTGACCGAAGTTTCTGGGTCAGCCCTAAAAAAAAAAAATGTCATCTGGTAGTTTCCAGAGGCAAATTTTTCAAGACAGCTGAGTGCTTCTGGTCACTTGACCTCACACTGGACATACTGGGCTTTTAAAGAAGCAACCATTTATCCATAAGGGCAGGACTCCTTAAAATTAAAACCAGCCAACCAACCAGTAGATGCTTGTTTAATTACATCCAACTCTGAATGGTAGGTTATTCGTTTCCACCAGAAAAGAAAACAGTAATGTTTGTGCACAGGATCCTAAATTACTCTCCCTTCCTCTATCCTTGCTCATAAAGAGCCCATAAAGTCACCCAGTGATTAAAACTCCAGGCTGTTCCCCTGAGGAGCAGTGCTACCTGGAACAGCTCCCTGAAGGACAAGCGGTTGAATTTTAACAGCTTAAAAAATAACCTTTTAAACCTAACTCCTAAAAAGTAAACAAAGAGGCTTTAAATAACTTTTTTTTTAAAAATCAAGACTTTATTGGATAAATGTTACACAACTTTCTTTAACAGTTAAGTCTCAGCATACTTTAGATGAGAAACAATTTTTGTCATTCAAGTCTACAAAATGAAATAGGCTTGTGAAGATTTTGAAATACAGACGAAGGTACCATGAAGCAAAGCTTAAATATTAAGCAACTAAAGCGATGGAAGGGAAACAGCAATACGGTATGTCTAGATTTTAAATACCACCGAGTTCTGTTTTGTAAAAAATGAAAATCTGATTTATAACAGCTTTGAGATACTGTCATGAGAAAAACTATTAGACACTTAAAACCAGATCTCTCCCAGTTCGTTTGCCTTTATAGTACTTCCTGGTCATTCCCATCACTCTGCACAAAGACAGACTTATAAAGCTTAGTTAAAATTTTTGATACACAAAATCTGCCGTGACCTGGGAGTCACCTGGTTCTGGGCGTGAGCCTGAAAGGTGCTGCTGGGTTACGTGTCTGCAAGAACCACCCCAGCCTTGACCCTGGGGCCAGAGAGCAGGGGCCACTGGCGTGCGTGTCGTCGTCAGCACGCCTGCTGCTGCAGTTCTGAGCTGACTTCTTCAGACCTGATCAAATGCACAATGACTTCATGATAAGGAATTTTCCATAAAGGCAATTTCAGAATGCCATCGAGACTTTGAATAACTTACGTCGTAATCAAGATTTGCACTAACTCATTAGAAGCAGGACTGCCTACCTTTCCTTCTCGAGTTGTAAAATCCTTGTCAGGTAGAGTAAATATTCTGAAACTCACCCAGAACTTTTTGTTAATCTGGAGTGTGGGGTTATTAAGTGATTCCAAACCTACATAGTAAGATTGGAAAGTGAACACTTGAGCCAAATGCTCAGTTTTCTATTATGTTGCTTCACATGAATTTTGTATTTTTAAAAGTTTTTTTGGCATTTTTTCCTTTTTTTTTTGTATTAAGTAATCAATATGGATTATCTTTCTGGTTTAAAAAATAAATCAGTATTGCCACTAAAAAACTTTAGTTTTATTATTAAAAGCACTGCACCATCAAATATAAAAGCCTTAAAAATGTAGTACTAACAGGACCATCTGCTTGTCTCATTAATGTTTTCTCCATTCATTAAAAAAGAAAAACTAAGGTTTTTTTCATAACATGTATTTTCCAGAATCAAAAACATGACGGCCTTCATTAATGAGAATTCATATGCCATGCGTGAGACGTTCACTGTCCTTATGGGTCTGCTTCCTGCTGTTTGTTCCCCAGGGTCAAGTCGCACTGACACCTGCGAGAATTTCTTGCACTTAGAAAGAGGAGCTCTCTGTGGAGAGAGGTCAGACAATTCAGACATTGTCACCTTTCCTGAACTAGACCAAATCAGTAAGGACAGGGAGAAGCTCAAACGCCTCTCCAGCGCAGTAGGATTAAGACTCGCTCTCAGTATATTTTCACTCCAAGATCAACACTAGCCTATCCACTTTGAGTCAGAATTTGAAAGATAAGAATGTAGTCATGAAAATGTGCACAAAACGTTAAATACTGGTGGCAAATAAATACATCTTAATATGATCTAACAAGCAAACGTGTATTTAAGATAATATAGCCCTGGCCCTGCTTCACTGAAGAAAAGATGCAAATGTTCTTGGCGGGGTGGGGGGTGGGGCACTGCCATCCCTGTAGGATGTTCGGTCATCTTTCCTGCTGATCCCACTGACACCCTGGTGGGCTCACTGGCCTCGGCGTTTGCGACTATTGCTGTTTCACAGGAGAGCCGTTTTAGAAATTATCTTAGTTCATAGCTGAACTAATGAACATAAACCTCGGAGAAAGCAGTTTTTGTATGACAAATAATTCAGCGTTTCTGTCAACATCCCATGCCTTTTAGGCCTGTCCAAGGCTGTACTGAAAAGGACTTCACGTTCAAAAGAAGTTACTGTCAGTGATTCTTCATACGTAAAATTCGAGAGAGGTCTTTGCGTATCTCACATCGCTCTTCTCATCTGATGCATAACTTATTGCAATAGTTTACTTTTTATAAAATATTCCCCTAATACCTTTTCTTCAGTTTAATACAGCACGGTTTGCAAGTGCCCCATTATAGACTTGGTTTTAACCACTGCCTGAACATTAACTTCTTAGTGCAGCTTTAAAAATCTGAGTCTCCAATTTCATTTCAGTCCTGACGCTCAGGTGTTCTGTGTCATTGTGGTACAGGTCCGATGAAACAAGCGGCCTGCTAATGTCTCTGTGCTGAAATATAGTAAAGAAAAGGAAGAAAATGCAGTTAAGCACAAGTACTTATATGAGGAAGACGCTGTCCTGGTTTAAACTGAGCCCTATATAGACTGTGGGATCACATCTGACTTTTTTCTTTTAAATCAGTTAAACTTGACCAATGGCTTTTTTTGTGTTCGTTTTGAGAAAACAACTTACTACCGCTCTAAACCAGCAGAAGCATTCGTGTTATCTCTGAAGTAATCCAGCCAAATTCCAGCACAAATAAAATGGTTGTCACCTTCACATAGTCAATCTGCACTTGAGCGTATTTTGTAAAATAATTTGTTTATGAGAAGCTGCCTGAGCTGCTGTGTGGACTGTGAAACACACCAGCAGCCTCCCTCTAGCAAGCAAAGTTCTACACAAAATCAGGCTGCGTCAGACTCGGCTGCAGGTTACACTGTCTGCACATGGGCAGGAGCGAAAAAGAGGGGCTGGAGGGTGCGTCCCCAGAGGGAGACACACGGCACGTTAGAAGGCACCAAAGGCAGCATAACTGCTATAAAGGCAGTTTCTGCACACTGGTTGGATTACACAGTGTCCCTCGTTACACCAGCAAGCCAGAGTATCAGCAGAGGCACTCTGCACCACACCGCCAACCAAAAGCAGGACTCTGAGCAGAACACTCATAAAGGACAAGGCTTATGTAAAACTTACTGCCAAGCAGCATGACCAGGATGCCCAACATTACCGACCACCCTCTGATACCAAGAAGTGGTACGAATCCCACTGAAACCCTCTACGGTCCCTGGTCACGCCTCGCAAACCTGGGCGCCTAAGGACCAATAAGAGTTTGAATCCCAGAAGACGTGACCCGTGGAGAGGATGATTTTTTTTCAGTCAGATGTATTCTTAAACCAAAGATGTGGTTACCTTCAGTGAAATAACAGGCAAAACAAACAATGCAAAAAAGGAAAAAAGAAAAACCAACCCCATCCTCCCAGTGTTTAACTTTCAAATGTTTCAGATGAGCTGCATTCCCCAGTCTCTGATGGCACTCAGAACTTCCAGTGCTGCCCTGCGTCACTCGCTTGTGGGTCCAGGTCTGTAAAGTTCACGGGGCTTCCTAGCACAGTTCTTCTTAAGCAATGAAAAGTGACTTCTAGCTGTAAATACTGCACACATCAAAATGGAAACTGAATGCAGTCCTTCATCACTAAAGCAGCAGAATGATTAACAATTTTAAAATCTGACACTGAGCTAGGAAGAGTTAATTTTCTAAAACTAAGATATTACACTAATATAATACTACTAATAAATTTAGACTCACACAGAACTTTGGAAGTAAATGTCACCATTTTATAAACTGAAAGGAAAAAACATCAACAGCCAATCCCATGTGCAATTCCACTTCCTTCTGTTTATTATGACTCTCAGTCTTTGGCTTCAGCCTTAGTGAGGCCTGTTCAAGTTGGCGGGAAAGCCAAGGATGGGCGCAGATCTTACTATTCTTGTGGGAGATGCCGAAAACAAAATGGTGAGACCACCACAAGGGCAGCTACCACGCCTGTGCAGGTAAGAGTCCCAAACAGCCCAGCCTCAAGGTCTGACTCGAAACGTGCCATCCTCAGCCAGCTTGCAGGCTCAGCTCCCGGGCAGTGATGCGGCCCAGTTACAGCTCTTCACACGCCAGAGGGTGAAGGGCCTTCATTCAAGGAAGCCAAAAAGATCCCAAGTCCAAAGCAGCAATGACAGCAAAACCCCTAAACCTTCCCTGTCACGTAAGAGCCCAGAATAAGCCATCCAGGCGTTATCCCAGGAGGTCTGAGTCAGTGTGCTTAAAGAAATAATTACAACTACATTTCAGCATTACTTTTTGCCACCCTCTGAATCTTGACTTGGGTTGATTTAATTCACTAAGAATATCTATGGAGACAATATATATACTCTCATACATTAATGACTATCTAAGAAGTTAAAATAATGAATATAAAAGTGACAAAGAAAGACTGAGGTAGTGAAATGAGACAGAAATGCACTATCTGCCTTCCCACGGAGTCCTGCCGGCCGCCCCCAGCCTCTCCCACGCTGGGAGCCGCTCCTCCCGGCTCAGAGGCTCACGGGCGGTGGGCTTTGGTTTCCTTCCACACAGCAGGTAACAGCAATGAAAAGTTAATTCCACTTACTATAACTGGCACTTACATGAGGCGCACCCAGCTACCAAGGTCAGTGAAAACGGAGGAAAGAGAACTAGCGCGTTCGTTTACATCTAGCCTGAGCTACTTCGGGGGCGGGAGTGATGACATGACGCCCTCTTCACTCTGTGGCAGGGCTTAGCACAGACAGACCTGCCCGTCTCACTGTTAACTTCAATGCTCCCAGTCTGAATCCACAGTGGTCTGTCAGACACTGTAAGGGAGCAGCAGGACTCGTCACTGTCTGATGTAATAGCTGCCATTTGTTGAGACCTATGGTAGAAAAAACCAAGTTAACAAAAATAGAGCAGTCATTCGAGTTCTTTTTCATCCATTTTACAAAAAAAAATTTAAAAATAAGACCAAAATTCAGCTGAATTTTCATAATGAATTCTTTCTAGATAACTTGCTGGCCTCACAAAACGTGAAGCTCTGGTGCCAACGGGACAGACTTAGGGTGTGTGCACACCAGTCTTGGCCAGGAGGGGGCACGCTCCAGCCCGAGTCAGCGGAGCAGCACAATGCCTTAAGGCTCACAGGACGCTGCCCTCCAGCGCTAGCTCACACGTAATGCTCCTGACAAAAAATCTGTGCTAGCCTGGCCCCAGCCCAGCGCTGGCGTAGTCCTGATCGGCTCGGTATTCAGCAGCGGCCGAAGTCCTCACCCCTATCTGCACCGTATCAGTGCGCTCAGAGACCGTTTTGAAGAATGACGCGAACTGCCTGCGTCCCTTTCTCCTTGAATGCCGGTGGCCCCTGTGCGTAACACTCAGACCTGAACTTACTGTGAAGTAACACCTGCTTGAAATAGGTTTGACAAGGTAAGCTTTCTCACTTTGGCTTTCAGCGCAGACTTCAAAGTACAGTTCAAGTGAAGGACTGTCCTTGAAGCCGTGTTGTTTAACCCATTTGCTCGTTTCCTTGCTTCCCTGCTTGAAGTGCAGAACGCGTAAGGAACAACTCATTACCACTTCAGCGTAGTCAACTCTGGGATCACTGATTTAGATAATGTTCAATCCATATAATAAAATATTTTTAAATGCTAAATTAGAAACAGTAGCACACAATCAAAACCTTAAGGCTTCTCTGACACTGAAAAGGGGAAATTTCATACAACTGATCTATATACAAATGATTACTTCTGAATTTAATTCAGAGAACAATTTTTTTAAATGAGGTTATTTACCCTTTTGTTCATGGCAAAACTTAAATATACTCTTAGCTATAACCCAACAGCAATCACACAAGAAAAACGAACATGAATGCACAAGAATTTATCTTTTGAACCTCGCCCTCCATCGGTAAAACCTGGGTTTCAGCAACCATTCTAAAGGCTCTCCTTTTCAGTTCTAGGCAAGAGGAGAGTCAAGACGGTGCATCAGAGAATCTTACTTCCCTGTGCAGCTCCCTACCCAGTGCCCAGAAATGCCGTGTAGAACATTAGCACGTGAGGGCTCCGGCCACAGAGCCGCGCCCGCGCGTCTTCTGCACTCATGTTTGAGGTGAACTTCCCTTCAGTGCTTTTAAGGGTCTCAAGATTCTTCTTTAGAAACGAACAGGATCCATGAGGAAGAGCCAGGGAGCCCTGGCAGTGAGGCGGTAAAAGGAAGGCTATCCTCATGAAAGGCAGCAATTTCCCTGGAAGTTACTTATTCTGTCCTTTAAAAGAAAGCTTACATGCAGCAATGGCCACCATTCCTGGGAGGCAGCAGAGATTTAAAGGGCAAATCACAACAGAGTGAGTCAGCATTCAGTCTCCCCTTTAGAGCATGAACGAAGTAGAAGAGGTCACAGCCTTAGTGCAAAGCCCAGAATTAAAAACTAAAGAATTGAAATCACGTACATATACCTCTTGCCTTGTCTCGCTGAACATGCAATATAAAGATTCTCTTAACCCAGCGCAGCACAACACATGACCAAGGAGGGAAGCATCGATCGCACCTCATTTCACAAGAGACACCCTGTTTTTCTAGCCTTCGTGCTATTTCTGTAACCAGTTCTTTTTCTAGGGTTTTAGACCAACTGCACAAAGTTCTTTCCAGCATACCAGAACTCACACCGAGACGTGCCACTGCCAGAGTCCCTCCTGAAAATGAAGCTGCAAGGGGAAATCCTTGATTTGTAATCGGCCGCACGTCAAAAACGAGCTATGGGTAGAAATGACCACCCCCTGGAAAATACGGCCACGGCGCGCACAGATCAAGGCCTTGGAATGTGAGGTATTTCCCTCCTAGAAATGGGACACCATCTGCTATGCAATCATACCAGTGGCAATAAAAAGGAATGTTCCAATTAATGTCCACTTTTTCACCTTTTGGCAAAATACTGAAATAATAAAACACCAGGTTCCAGGAAACAGCACCCGTACAAACCAGCTACTTGTCACCACGCCAAAGCTGCCAGGTACAGCCCTGTGCCTCTGGTACCTTTAGAAATGCCTCGGGGCCTCTCCACGGGCCCCACCGGCTCAGACACCGCTCACGCCTTTGAGAGGATGTGGGTGCGCCAGGCTTCGAGGATGGGGACTGGTAGTCAGTACCTGAATGTCTGCATCGATGGAATTACTCTTCCTCACGCAAAAGTTGAAATATTTGAATGCACTTCTCCCCTCACCATAAACCCCCAGGCACCCTCCACAAATGCCTGGTGGAATTTTCAGGTAAGAATAACAGTGCTACAGCTTGTTTTTCATTTACACTGAGTGTACGCTGCAGACAGACACTACCAAAAGCTACCCGAAGGAAGCTTTTGTGCCGCGTACGGCAAGTGGCAGCTGTGGTCATGACAGCAAGTAGTTCAGTCCTGCGCCAGACAGTGTCGCTTTCATCATCATTTAAA